AGGCCATGATTTGGTAAGAGATTTGAAGTTGTGGCCTGAAAAAACACATCCTCGACGATGCCATCTCAAGTTTACATTGAAAAAGCGTGTATTGTCGTTCATCCGCAAGCATAGGGGTAAAGTCATCTTTTGGTCCGATTTGGCCAGCTGCCACTACTGCAAGGTGGTTCTGGAGTGGTATGCTGCCAACAAGATCGATTTTGTCCCCAAGCTAATGACGCCTCCGAATTGCCCGGAATTTCGACCAATCGTAAAATACTGGGCAATTTCAAAGCAGCGACTTCGACGAAGCGGTGGGGCAGTCAAGGACATCCATCAAATGCGGGCAAAATGGAAGAAATGCGCTGATAACGTGTCCGTTTCCACTGTGCGAGCGCTGATGGGCTCCATCAAGAGGAAGGTTCGAGATTTCGTTCGAACTGGGGAAATGTAACCATCTAATGCTGTAACTTTGAAGTTTTAGTAAAAGTACCTTAAAGCAATCATTAATGGACTTTTTAAATTTATTGAATCACGAATTACAGGTCTTTTTGTGCGTACCAATTTACTTTTAAAGTCTGTTCCATTTAGAATTTGGCCGCACAAAACAGGTTATTTCTCCAAGGGGAAATAAAGTACAAAAACGCTAGAGGTATCAATTTGTAGGATTTTTATTTAGCCTAAAGGGAAGAATGCAACAAAAATTATTCTTCAGCTTTTCGGGTGAATTTCCGATCTTTTCGCGGAATACCTCTCATCATGTCTTACACAGTAGTACTGTCAACCTCATCTACCATCCTTTTCCACCACTTCTCCAAATCAGATGGTGTTTTGATTGTTTTGCCACATTTCTTCAACTTGCGCTTGAGAATTTCCCAAAATTTTTCAATGGGACGAAAGTCTGGTCAATTTGGTGGATTGATACTTTTCTCAATAAAATCGACATTATTCTGCTTATACCATTCTACGACAAAGCGACTGTAATGGTAGCTGGCTAAGTCAGACCAGAACTTTACGGGACCTTCGTGTGATTGAATGAATGGCAAAATTATGCTCTGACGACACTCCTCCTTATAAAGTTATCCATTAGACTGATGCAAAATTTGACTTTTTCGCTCCACAGTGCTTAAATGGTTTCAAATCAGGTCCTGATTAGCCTCCAAAAGTTACAACTCATTTGGTTAGAAACAGACTTCGAACAAACCATTTGAAGTTTACATGTAAATTACTATGGGAAATCTCAACTTTTTGTTCATTGCCTTCTAGTCTTTTTCCATATTTAGCTGCAAAACAGTTCGATAGCTATTCTTATAAAAAAAAATTCTCAGCTACAACTTTGCTGAAGATAGTTTCTATCTGACATAGTAGCCATAATTTTTGTGTCCTATTCAACGTCCCAGAAACACCAATGTTGCCTGCTGAGCAGTTGATTGAGCATGATCATAAGACATCAGCGCATTGAACCATTGATAACTTTCGATCCTTGCATTTAATCAAAAAGTTGCTGAAACCAAATTGTAGCTGGGAAAATTTCCTACAAGTACAGTTGAAAGCTTTTGAAGCAGAACGATATGGTGAATTATTAGATAGACATGAACAAAAATCTTGGTTTTACCACAGTAATTCCCATACAAACTTCAAATGGTTTGTGCCATCTCAGTTTCTAACCAAATGGGTTCAAATTTTGAGAGCTTAGTCAGGATCCGATTTGGAATCGTTTAAGTATTGTGGAGCGAAAATTTCAAATTTTGCATCACTCTATTGTCCATTCATAGTCGCTCCAGTGATGAAAACCTTTGTTTTCTTTCCGCAACTGCTTACCAAATCATCAACTTTCGAGCGAATTTATCTGTAAAGACAAATTTTATTTTATCCGGAGCATCCCCCTTACGTTTAGCAAAGTAAAATTTTTGGCCTGGGATTTGTCCAAAGTCCATTTTTACGTAAGTTTCATCGTCCATCAAAATACATCCGTTATACTTGGTCAGAACTTGCTCGCACAGCTTCCTTGCACGGTTTTTGGCAACCAGGTTTTGTTTCAGCGTCCTGTTGGGATGTTTGTTGGCATGGTACAACCGAAAACCTTCTCGCGCTCAGATTCGCCGAACTGTACTGTGTGAATCCTAATGAAATTTTCACTACTAAATAAATAATTCTTCCGGATCAAAACGCTGTCAATAGTTTCTTGATACGAGAACAAGAGGCGCTACAGTAATTAAAAATAAGCGGCCCAATACTAACTGGAACAGACTTTATTCAGCCTTTAGTAAAATGTTGATTTCATTCAGGTAAAATAGGAACATTAACGGGCCCAGCTGGTTGCCTTGAGGAACTCCATAAGAGGGAAAGAAGGCATAAGAGAGGCAGTCTCCAATCTTGACGAATCCTGAAACGTGGCGGTCTATGACATACGATAGAATGGTTTGAAAAAGTTTGCGTAACACTGTCGTTGTTCTAGTCAGTCCCAAACAAGTGTGTTTAAGACAGTAATAATTTTGTTGTAGTCGGCCTTGTGGAAATCATAACCCACCGTTTCTGCGATATCCTTGAAAACTGGAAGCTTCTAGTCGTTGAAGATTAACTGCAGGGGTGGATGACACGTGTTTCACGGAAGATGATGAAATAACTGAAATGTTTGAAGCAACGTCTTGAAGGCTTACATAAGTCCAACGTTCGACCATATTCGATGAAACAGTGCCTAAATAATTGGGCGAAGGTTTACGATGCTGTAGCTATCTAGCAAGGCATTGGTACACAACGGGAAGACGTTTCCGTGTCTGCTAACAAGAAGCCATTATTTGAAGATTGTCAAATAATTCCGAGAAGATTGAATTCATCACATACAGCAGTATCACATGAAATAGATATAACAGATCGGATGAGAGCATTGTAGAGCAAATCATCACGAATTCGATTCGGAGGGATGTATAGCACCAAGGAATAACTTGTGATCAGCGAGTTTGATTTTCACCCAGACTTGCTCGGCACCAGTCTATTGGAGGCCTTCTATCGAGCAGGCCTACGGTTGAAGGTTGGAAGACCCGCGGCTGTGAGTCTAGGCTGAAATAGACGCGACTGCGCCGGAGGATAGGAGTCTTCGCTAAGGTTTAGTTGTATGCACTCCGGTGTCCAAATCATTGGATTACCATAGCTTGACCCGGAACAAAATTGATATCACAAAAAGCTATCCAAGTTAAGAGCAGGTAAATGCGCCTAATTTCTCGTTGGACTCCTTTGCCCTGTGGTTCGTACGACCTCATTTTCAGCAGTTTTGTGCAAAGCTGCTTTTAACGAGCTTGAACACAGAAGCTGAAAGATTGAAAAGCCAACAAGTGCCTCAACATTCATCACCTCATTTCTCATTCCACTCATAAACCCCATAAAAGTCAGTTTCCCTATCGTACATCGTCATCACCGCCAACCGAGACAAACGATGTTTATTAATATAAACTACTCTTCACCAAATCGATTATTATTTATAACATACATTCTCTGCTTGCCCGAGAACTCCATCTCCGACACAAGTCCCTTCCCTCAAAACTGTCCTTCGAAGATGTCGACGATCATCGCTTTAGCCAAATGCAGCGATTAAATATGATTGTGTAGCCAAACCGAAAGCCATCATCGTCGTCTGCCCATCGTATTGCTACGAAGAAGTTCGATACAGAATTAATGCTCGGCTCGCTCCGTATTAAACGTTTGCATATTAATCACTTTAATGATCGTCATCGTTCAGTCACCCCCACCTTCCAGAATTCCCATCGGCGACGACGACGCACACTTTACTAGAACACTCTGGATGAGGGGGCAAGCCGAGCAAACCCACTACAAGTCAATGGTTTTCGGGAACGAACAGGGGCGGGGGTGGAAGTGAAAAAAGACCAATTTTAAGGCAGAGTACTGCGCCCCGGCAGTGACAAACGGTATCGAATCGAGGTTTTATGATCGTGCGGGAAGTATTCTAAAGGGGGACAATCGATTGCTTTGGTGCCATCATCAGTAGTGGGATACGTTCTAGGCAGGCGGTGAAATGTGGCGCTTGCTTGACTGTGGAACGAGACAAGGAACGTGTTCTATAAAGTCATTACTCATAATGGGTAGTGATTCCAGATATAATTCTATTTTAGAGTCATAAATCATAATGATTTGTTTAAAGCATGGTTTGAACCATGAATGGAAAATATGTTTTTTTTTTTCGATAACACATCCATAAAGGCATATGTGCCAATAATGATGCATGTGTGTGCGTTGTGCCAAATTTTTGAAAATGATTCAGCCCGCTCCCTACGCACTCCATTGGCGTGATCCAGAAATTATTGATGCTCATCCCTCATGTGGCACAGCTGGAGTCCAGTTTGTTATATGTGAGCACAAACATTCAATAAGACACGACCATTATAGCAATATGAGCTAGAAACGGAGTACGAGCACTGAATAAGCGACTCTATCAAGTATGGAGGTCTCTATAAATCATGTCCACGTGCTTTCTGCTTTGACCAAAGCCGCACACTGGCCGGCAGGCCACCAGATTGGACCAATTGCTTGTTCCCATATATTCTCGCCCACCCCCTTTATCCCTATCTCTTTTTCTAACTCCCAGCGAGAATCGACGGCTGTTTTGTGTGCCAGTCAGTGCATATCTTACTCATTCGGTAGGTAAGTGGGTGTTTGAAAGAAAATGTGTTTTTTGGCAAACAGCACTATTCTCACTCTCTATATTCTAAGAAGCACTTCTTTCGCCCTTAGAGTGAATCAGATTTGCCCATTTTAATTGAACTAGTTGCCGGGAAATCACAGCGGCATTTCTTTGATCGAGTGGGGGAGCGCAATGACGCGCGCGCGCCCTCTTCGAAAGTGTTCATCGTGTTGATTTATGACCATCTGATTACAATTAATGAAGCATGATTTATTCGACGCGATCAATAGCAATGTTATGGAAATGTAGTGATAGATCAGAAAGGGGGAAAAAGAATGCAACGCAACTGTAGGAGGAGGAGGGACATGCTAGTTTCGAGACTTACCATATGTTGGGGTGTTTTTGGTTTCTTCACCAAATCAGGTACTTTGAATGTGGTGACCGCTTCGATCACCTCGGCCAGCAGCAGTCCATCACGGCAGTCCGCAGACAGATCCGAGACCTTCTTCTTCGATTTGGCCCGCTCCAGGTAGTAGTTGGCCCAGTCAGTGTAGATCTAGAAAGGGAGAAGGAAGGGAAAGTTATGCGTTAATGTGATTTCATTAAATTGGAAGTTGGGAATATTTAGTGAATGTTTTTAAATTATGTTGCGATAATCTCAATTGAGCTACAGTGACAATCTTTTTTTTCGTATTTTGATGGCAATATCAATTCTAACTTGAAATTTGAACGCCCAATCGAAAAATTTCGGCAATTTTTTTTTTAACCATATTAGGTTCTTTTTAACGTTATAAGATTATTATTATTATAGAGTTGCCAATCCGTTTTAAAGTTGTGTGGTCATTTTGTCGAATATAATTCAATCTTTTAAATTTGTCGAACCTCTTAACGGAATTCCTTTATGAAGTATCCTAAGTAGAATAGGGTTTGAAACTTTCAATTGTTTCGTAGTGTTACCAATAAACGCGGTCAATCCTCAACTGTCTGTATGGGTCATTAGTATTTTTTTTCCGTCATCCGATTGTCATAGTCCTCTTTGTCCAAAGTCACTACTGCATTACCTTTGTCCACTTTGGTATAGAATACCGGCTTTGTTTTTAGTTCTTCGATTTTTCGAATTTCCTCTTTTTCGGTTTTACTAAGTGAATGTCCCTTTCCGTTTTGTATTGTCTCTGAAATAATATTCCTAGCAGTCTCGTGTAATTGAATTTAGGAAGTGTGTGAGTGATTGCAGTCTCCATGTCAACGATGACCTCTTCCACGTCAGGTTTTGAGGAGATCGCATATCCTAATCTCTTGTTGAGAAGTGTCAATTGTTCTTCTGAGAGCTGCTGCGACGAGCGATTTACCACAAAACGTTCGAAGGATTGAACCACAGCTGCGTTAACTGAACTGTGCGATTTCTGGGTTCTCTGCTGTGTTATGTAATTCAAATAGTATTGTTGTGACCTCAGTTTGTTGTTATGTAACTTTTATTTTTATCTTTCCAAACATTCCAACGACTTTGTTTCCAACTTTGAGTAGAGACTCTGAATGCTCACTTTTATAAATTCTGACTCCATCTTACGAACTACTTTTAAGGAGTTGGTGTCTTAACCCTAATCTTATGACTGATAGGTGTTAGATTTAATTTTCGGCATTTCTCAAGAAACGCTGTCTTTCCTTTAACCTTCGATGGATTTTTTTTAGTGATATGTAGGGTAAATTATGGCTTCGGCACCCATTGACTGTTTTCGGCAACCGAAATTGAAACGTTTATTTCACTGTATTTTTCCATCAAAACTCTTCGCTGAATGTATTAAGCCGATTCCTTACCTTTTCAGCTTCAATCTGATTACATTTTTACGACTGTGAATTCCTGTTATACCATATTTTTCTTTAAATGAAATATACATACTACAAAATACGGCTGATTTCGAGTTGCCGATAATAGAACAGCTGGTTAACACGCAGTTTAAATGGAAAGGGTGCCGAAGAAAAAGAGACTGCCGACAATAGTCACTCTCACCTGAGAAGTTTGGAGCGTTGTAAAAACATGTTCAACCCGTTTTGATCAATTCTGTCGATTGGAATTAGTAGAACAGCAAGCAGCAGATAAATGTCAACAAACAAACCTGTCATCTATGTGTGTGACGCTGAGAAATCGCTAATAGAAGGTCGGACGCTGCTTAGATTGACGAGAATACGTAAATTCCCCTACCTATTAGGTTCTGAAAGCTTGGAAGCCATGATCAATCTTTTAAATTTTTAATCCTTTTATGAAGAGCTTTGAGTGTGTTGGTTAATTTCCTTTTAATTCCGTTATAATTGCTTATCTTTTGACAGATACGCGTAGCCATTCAAGTACTAAACACCACTACACTTGATTAGTATATAACTCAGTGGTTTTGAGTACTTGGCACCAGGGTTACCAAAACTACACATAACTCTGTATGTCTACAGATTTTTCAGAGTTTTTTAAACCAATATTCTGTATTCATAGATTACAGATTACTAAGATTTTAACAGATTACACAGATTTTTAAAATATGATCAAACATTTAATAAATTAAACTTGAGATGTTCAATAACAAAACATTATTTTCACGTCAGTGAAATTTTATTATCACAAACTTTTATATCTATGCATGTTTTTTTAGGGAACAAAAAAGAAGAATGAGAATTGTCAGAGGTCTTCTTTTTGGCCAATTTAAGATGCATATATTTTTATCTATTTTTTGTCTCTGTCATAAAAATTGCTCAAACACTTTTCAAATGACATTTTTAGGGATTCAATTTATAAATTATCAACACAGATATCATCACAGTTTTTCTGGCCAAAAACTAAGATGAAAAGATTTTTTTGGAACAAAAACACAGATTTCATTTTGGCAACCCTGCTTGGCACTGATGAAGTCTGCAAGAAGTAGACGAAATACGCGTATCTGTCAAAAGATAAGCAATTATAACGAAATTAAAAGGAAAAAACCAACACACCCAAAGAATATAATTCTCTTGTTAGCCTATTGGATTCTTTTTTTTTTTAAAGCTGTCCCAGTCATTGTCACGTTTCAATACCATTTTTTGCCTTTTTGGGTTAGTTTTGGCGTTGAACGATGGCCTGGAGTCGTTTGTAACCGTTTTTAGACGCTTAGAAAAATTTGAAAGGTACCTAACTACAAATAACTTAACCTACTGTACCATATCCTGATGATCTGTTGATCGGAACACCCACAGCAATCTCTGAACGTTCCAAGCAGAGCGTTCTTCGCTCCTCCAGTGTCTGAAGACCAGCTGGTGTTTTGAGTCCGTGGAGGACTCTTCAAGATTATCCTAAGGATCTTGTTCTGAATCCTTTGCAGGTTGAGATGATGGTGTAACGATCAGGTATTTTGTATAAATTTGTATACGATTTATTAGGTTTAAACTGAATTAAATTTCTTTCTTCTCTTCTATCGGCCAATTTATCTTTCGTGTCTTTAGACTCACGAAAGTACACGATGGGTTTCGGGAAAAGATGGACTTCCGGTCCGTGCGAGTCATTTCCTTCATCTAAGGATTCACAGGCTCGATCATTTCATCCGTGATTTTCCACCAATCCAGAAGTGTGCGCGTTTTTTCGTGTCCGTTAATATAGCGAAAAGTATGCTAATTTAAAGTGGTGTCGAATATTTAATTTAATTAAAGTTTTTTTTCTGTTTGTTCTATAGTTTAGCTAGAAACTAAAGTGTGCGTGAATTAGTTGTGTGCGTTAGGAGATCGTTGCTAAGGAAAAAGGTAATTTGGTGTGATCGAAATGTGATGTTTTGTCCGCGCTCGTGCTAGTGTTCACATTTCTGTGCGATTCTTCTCCCCGTCGGACGGAATTTCTCGGCAATTGCCAACCGGCCGGAAGCGGACAGATCCATAAACACATCGGTCCGAGGAGGCTCGACGGACCTCCACGTGGAAGAGATCGACACGCTCGTCATCAAACACGGCATCAGCGTGTGAAACGCTGAACCACAATTTGCCACCGTCATCAAAGGGGTGACGCTTTCTACGCGGTCATCGAACGCAACACCGTGTGTGTCGAACCCGCCGACAGGCCATAGACTGTGGCCGTTTGCAAAACCCACTTAAGCTGAGTCAACCAAGCTTTTATTTATGTGTGGAGTGTGGCGTCCGGTGAGGGTGCCACGGAGTAGTTATTTTCCAGCCCTAAGGCTGATGTAATTTGAGTCGAGTTTCGTGACGACTTGCCGAAACTCGTGACTCGTCGATTCCACCAAAAGCATGCGCACGTAATTAGACGCTGTAAATCCTTGTCACCAGGAGCACATGCTTAGCGGCGCCGGTGGTGTAGTGGTAAGCGTGATTACCTCTCATCCCAGGAGGCCTGGGCCTCCAGCTTTAATTATTTGAATGTATTTGACATCACTCCGCGTTCGTGTAAGTTTTCGTTGCTCGTCCTCTTGTTGAGTTTAAATGTTGGGAAGTACATTCTACTACCAGATTAGGGAGACGTCTAGCGGCAGGTGACGGGACTGGCCAATGATGAGAAGTTCTCTCTCGTAGAATTTTACGGTATACGTGAGCTATACCGTTTCTCTTGGTGACTTTCTTGAGTGGGGGTATAATAAGGAATTCCCGTTTGGTTGTTGGAAGCTGTCAGGAACGATCCGCAAATCTCTTCTAAGAATTAATGAATCCGGGAAAATTAAAATTGGCCGTGTGGTCTCCCTTGTGGAGTGGTGCAAATGCGTATTCAAGCTGGATCGTCCGGGTTAGCTACAATGGGATTTAACAGAAGCAAGTCGTTTGGTACACTAGTACCACCTGGTAAAGCAATTATCAACTTAATTGTCTAACATCCAATAGGTCTTAACAACCTGAAATGCTTTTCAATCTAATCTAATCTAATCTAATATAACACCAACACAGCCAGTTTATGAAAACATCCTGGAAAATGATAGATATACCTTTATCATTTGTCTTTTCTATTTGGTATATGTAGCAGAGATGCGCAAAAGATATCAAAACGGTTAGGCCTTCTGTGCAGCTTTTAAGGGGCAAGATGATTCAGAAACATCGGGACTGTTTAAGTCAAAGATTTAAGCACAATGCTTCAGAACCCAATAAATGGATGAAACGTGGACATCTCGTACCGTACGATCCGTTGTATTGTTATTTATACATGATTGGTCGTTGGGAGCATCTTGTCTAAACATGTTAAGGGATGCTCTATCTTCCTTTAGTGGTCTGGACATGAGCGAGTAACTCTTGTCCTAGCCCTATATTGTTTGTGGTTATAGCGCCATTACTCGCTTTCTGAAAAGAGATGAAGGAAATGAAAAAAAAAAAAGAGAAAAGACGCATTTCGCGCCAAATCGAATCGAAGCTCGCAGGACCCTCTCAGATTTCACTAAAATTTTCTGGATGTGTAGACTTTGACTAAATAAGCACTTTTGCATACTCAGATTTTCCAAAATTTATCTAGACTAACATTTGAGAAGGGCCAAACTTTTTCTGCCGATTTTTTTCAAAAAAAAAATATTATGGAAAAATGACAAGTCCAACGAAAACATGTTGTATGTA